TTGCTATTCCTACAACATAAATAAGTACCCTAGCTTCATCAACATTTTTTCTATTCAGCTGACTTTGTGTCCAGCATGTAGTCATATTTGAAGAAGTAGCTAACACAAGTTCCAGCAGAATATTGACTAGTCTTTTCCAAAAGACATATTGTGCTATGCCTGTGAGTCAGTAAGCAACCCTAAATTGATCATACTGGAATTTTTGTAAACATGTTCCAAATATATTGCTGTGGATTTTTAATGGTTAATTATTGGTTGGTTAAATATGCAGGTGATAAAATGATGCATTTTGGAATCCAATAGTTGCTTGGATTTTTATCACATTTTAAAAAGATCCATTTGGTCACATCGTGTTAGTTGAAAATCCTCACTTCCTACTCAAAGGTGAACTTTGATTCAGATTCCAAAAATCCTTGGAAGCAACCATTTCCTACCATCTGTCCCTTTTCTTGCAGTCTGCAAGATGGAAGAGAGGGAAAAGAGGATGAGAGAGAAATGCGAGAAAAGAGAGAGAGAGAGAGAGACAGAGAGAGAGAGAGAGAGAGAAAGGAAGGAAGGAAGGAAGGAAGGAAGGAAGGAAGAAAGAAAGAAAGAAAGAAAGAAAGAAAGAAAGAAAGAAAGAAAGAAAGAAAGAAAGAAAGAAAGAAAGAAAGAAAGAAAGAAGATAGTACTGTAAAAATAGGACACCACCCATTTGTGGTCTGGTTCCACCCACCGTTTTCTTTGACCTACCCTCATCTTGGTATGCAATGCCGCTATGAACAAATTATTTCTGCAGAAAAACAGTTCTTATCCTGGCTCCATAATTTTTGTATTTTACAAATTAAAATTCATTTTTTCTTTTGAAGGTTTTTTTTGTGGAATCTGTCTGTGATGATCCAGAAGTCATTGCTGCCAATATATTGGTTAGTATTTTACATTCTCTCACTTTCTTTTGCTCAGTCATTCCTGCTAAAGAAAGAATGAGCATCATTGGAGCATGTTTAAGCTTAGGCTCTATAGCCAGGGTTAGAAGTCAAACCAGTTAGATCCAAGTCAAATCAGTGAGAAATCATGTTTTCAAAGCAGAAAGCACACAGTATGTGCAACACCATAAAGAGTTCAAAATAGGAAGATAAATACAGATGGTAAATCCTTGAACTGGGCACTGAGTATTAGTCTGCTAATTCTGCTAGCTCTGTCCCACTCTGCACAAACCTTTCTCCTTTATAGAATTTAATTTTGCCGAGATTATATTGCCCTACAGTGACTGCAACATATTAGAGTGCTAGAGTCCTTAGTATTTGTTTGTTTATACAATAATAGATTGTACAAACTGAGTACTGGCTCTGGGTGACATACAAATCAAAACAGATACAGTGTTTAAAAGCAAAGCAAAAAGTACAATAAAAGTAAATAAAGTAAATGGACACATCCTGGCCTATCTCAGAACTTGGGGAAACAATAGGTTTTCAGAGATCATATAAAGGCTTGTAGAGTTGAGGCCATCCCAATTTCTATGGGGATTGGTATTTCAAGGGGCAGGTGTCACGGTAGCAATTGTGTGCAACCAATGTTCCATCAGCTAACATTGTTCTGTTAGATCTAATGAGGAGAGAGGTGGTCCTTAGATATTCGGGCCATATGCCATAAAGGGCTGGATAGGTGATAATTACCCATTGCAGTAGAACAACCACAGGATATCTTAGCATGCATAGGCCATAGGGATGTAGGTCATAAACCCTTGATATATTGTTGTTTCTTTGGAGAGAGGGGAATATTTACTGTGCGATTATGTAACCACCATATATCCTGGTTTGAATTGAATTTATTGAATTTAATTTAATTTAATTTAATTTAATTTAAGTGTTTGATCACACTTATTCCAGAAATACTAGGCTAGGGTATCTAGAGTTGCCTGATTGATATATTTTAGATAGTAGGTAGATGATGCTTGTCTGAGGAGTTATAAGAATTGCTTATTAATTGTTTTTCTTCAGTTTTCTTGGAATGTTTTACACTGTTCCCAAGAGTAAAACAAGCTAAGATTTCTTGTCTCACTGTAAGAGTTAATCAATTTACCAATGGAAAAGTTCCTGTGTCAAACCCAACAATCAATAATGACAATTTTTTTTCACCACTGCCTGGTGTCATTTCCCTGAGTATTCTTTTCCTATTTCACCCAAAAATATACATGCCTGTCTATCTCAGGATAATGATCCATCTGTCTGATGGACCAGTTTGTAGGCTATATATTTATGTTATAATAAAAGTTTAGGTCTTACAGTGCTCTATTACTAGGTGTGCTATTGCAGAAGATTAACATAGATCCCCCTATGAACTGTCTAATAGGAAAGATACTGTATGCATAAATGCTAGAATATTTTGTATTAAAAGTATATGTTTTTGTTGTGTTAGAGCTTAAAAATAGTGTTGACTCAGTTAAATAGACAATATTAAAGCAGGTAATGCTTTCCAAGCATTGATGCAATACTTTTGAAAGTATATTTATTAGATGTATTTATAAGATAAATGGATTATAGGATTAAAAAAAGTCTCTTAAAATTATTCGGGCATTAGAATCTGCAAAAATGATACCTAATTACATGAATTGGATCAACTTTTGGAAGCTGGTTATTAATCTTGGAAGGCATATCTGTGTATTAGAACTAGTGCAAGTGCTTTTTTAAAAAAAATCATTTCTGTGTATCTATTCCAAAATGATGAAAACTCTATATCTTGTTAGAAGATAATGTTTATTAAAATAGTTGATTATTACAGAGCTTAAGATTGTTATCACCACTGTTTATTTCTTTATGTGTATAAAGTTTCTGTATAGATACAGAGTTTATCTTTCAAAAAGTTTGTTTTGCTTGCACCAGGAAGTTAAAGTCTCCAGTCCAGATTATCCAGAAAGAAACCGAGAGAATGTGATGGGAGATTTTCTGAAGAGAATAGAATGTTACAAAGTCACCTATCAACCCCTTGATCCAGTTGATTATGACAAGTAAGATGCACAGCAAAGGAATCATGGGGATTTTTGATCATAGACTTAGATCCACAACACACCAACAGAAGAGGTGACTTTTCTGAAAGACCTTCTCTGTGAAAAGCCTCTTCCTGAATAGGTTTGGGCTGTGACAGGGGAAGATAAGGTCTTCCTTATAAACTTGATGAAATTCAAAGGGAGGAACATTCTGGGATCACAATACTCCACACAGTTTTTTCAGTTACATTTGTTTCGTTCTAAACTCCCTGTGCCTTAATCCACTCTAAAAGAAACTTCAGGAGAGACTGTTCCATGAGGCTGCCAGGGAAAAAAGAATTGAGAAGTCACCTTCTACCGTACCTCATTCCACTGATACTTCTTGGATCATGGTTACTGCATGTGCTTGGAATAGAAATGGATGGAAGAACAGATGGGAGGATATTATGGGAAGGATATTGTAGAAAAATGGAGCAAACAATGGAGAATTCAGAGATGTTATGCATGCAAGGGCTATTGTTTCTTACTTATTAAGAACAGAAAGAATTTCTAGTACAAGAATCAGGTTTGGTAACACCTGTTTTGATCTGGGACTGGTCCAGGAATCACTTCTCCTTTTTTAGCAATATTTAGAAATAATTTAAAAAGCATTTAAATATTTTAATAATTAGTATACTTTAAAAAGTATCTCAGTAGTCAGAGATGCTTTTTATATGTCTGAAAATATTTGTTAAAATATAATGGTTTTTTCCCCTCACGATTCCATAGAAATAAGCTTTTAACTTTCTGCTTTCCAAATATTTTTCTACTATTGTGTTGCCACTTCTCATTCATTGCTTTGGAGTAGTGTATTTGTGTGTGTGTGTGTGTGCGTGCGTGCGTGCATGTGTGTGTGTGTGTGTGTATCTGCATTTCAGATTTGATCTCCAGAAGGTGCTTTGGACTAATAGAGAAGTGAAAAGTGCAGCTGCACCTTTTCCTAGGATCACATTACATTCTACAGCTGTTGTGCAAGTCCAGTGCAGTGGGTGGGGGGCTACTCATCCTCCAGCATCTCTGAAACATCTTTTGGAATCTGAATCCTAAGTACTGTCCAGGTCTAATATATAATTAGAAACTGGTTCTCATATTAAAATAACCTAGTTCAGCTATTTTATGCATCAGCCTTTGTTTTTTTTTGGAGCATTCTCCCTAAGTTACAAAAACAGATATTGAATAATTGTGTGATGACTTGATACCTAATAATTTCTGGCGTTTTTTTTATTTATTACAGAGACCTTTCTTTCATTAAAGTTATCAATGTTGGGCAGCGCTTTCTGGTCAACCGGGTCCAAGACTACATCCAAAGTAAAATTGTCTATTATCTCATGAATATTCACATTCAGCCACGCACAATTTATCTCTGTAGACATGGAGAAAGTGAATGCAACCTTATTAGAAAGATAGGTGGAGATTCGGGCCTGTCCACACGTGGGAAGCAGGTATGGTCTAATTCACAGGAAGTTTGCATATTTTGTAGGGCTCTTCTGTGTTTCAAATTCAAGGCAAAGAGGCTATCAAAGCACACACATTTTAGTTGTCTGCAACTCCTATACATAACATGTTTTCTGCACCCATGTTGCTTTAATGAATTACAGACAAGAGCTACTTGAATTTGCATACTACAGCTAAATTAAGGCAGATGTTCTGCCCACATTTACTTTCAGTTCAGCTTAAGACCAGAAACATGTGCTCAAAACAACAAACATTACATTCTAAATTTACTAATTTTTGCTGGAAGAACAGTTCAATAGTATTCTGAGAATACCCATAGATATCATCACCTTACACATCATTAAACACATTAACAATGATAAAATGTGTTTTAAATAAAATGAATGTTTAGCATTTATATCTCAAATTTTCTCTGTGATATCCTCCATCCCTAGTTATTTTACCCTAAAAGATTGTGATTACTCAAAGGAACCAACTCCTTGGTGCCTGACTAGTATATTAAATATTAGATTACTTTTAGTGTAAATCAGAATACATAGTTATCACAGAAACTCTGCCAAGTTGGATAGAATTGTTTACAATAGAAATATTTTATACAAACAATTTACACAAACAATTGTAATAACCCACTGACTGATATGTTATTTTTAGATAATGGATTGCAGTCATATTACCTTTCCTTGATGGAAGGTTTCTTTCATGCCCTGTTACAGTCCATTGTATGTCTCTAAAATTGGCCTGTAACATGGAAGAATTCTTCAGAACAGTATATTAACAGTATATTAAATTCTTTTCTATCAAAAAACTTTCTATTACAGCTGGAATTGTAGCACAACAGTTGGAAACAAAAAATGGCTATGACCATTGGCTACAATACAAGAAAAATGGCAAATTTTGTATTGAACTTTGTGAATATAAAATTTTAGCTGTGTATGACTTGGGGAGATGAGTTGCTTTGTACAGCTTCCAAACCACTGTTCCCAATGCCACCTTAGAAATTTTCCCTGATAATGTAAGCAGCACAAAGCCAAGTTGCTGTCCTTATCTTCATAGTAGGGAAGGGGAAATCTTAATCATGCTATATTGTTTTCTAGTTTGCTGGAGCATTGAAAAGGTTTATCAAAGAGCAAGAGATTATGGATCTGAAAGTTTGGACTAGCCAGTTGAAAAGAACAATCCAAACAGCAGAAGCTCTAGGAATACCATATGAGCAATGGAAGATACTGAATGAAATTGATGCAGTGAGTAGAATGGCAGAAAAGTTAAACACTGGTCTCGGGATAGTGGTGATATAGTTTCGAGTGATCTTCATTGCCATAAAGATAAGCTGCATACAATTTCATCTGTCTGTCTGTCTGTCTGTCTGTCTGTCTGTCTGTCTGTCTGTCTGTCTGTCTGTCTGTCTATCCATCTATCTACTTCATACATTAAATTCAAAAATAAATCCCAATTCAATAGGACAGTTGTGGTTGCAGACACTAAGCACTTTTTATCGATACATCAGGTTCAATGTTATCAAGCTCCTCTTTGTTCTGGAATAATAGATGGTAGAATATATCTGCTGTCATGTTTGAAGAAATGTAAGTTTTGGAAAAGACAAACGTGTTTAAGTTAAATTATATTCATTTGAGTTTAGTTCTTAATTTTCTAGGGAGTATGTGAAGAAATGACATATGAAGAGATTCAGAGAAAATATCCAGAAGAGTTTGCACTTCGAGATCAAGAAAAATACCTTTACCGCTATCCTGGAGGAGAAGTGTGTTGTTGTTTTTTATCATTGCTATACTAAATATTGTTGCTAAACTAAATGTTACCGCTTTGATTTGTTAGAGTTTGAAGTGTGTTGCAACAATTGTCCCTAAATATAATTTTAAAAAAAGAACTATAATATACAACTCTCCTGGAGCTGGTTGAAGAATGGTATAATAAACAAGCATTATCATTTTGGGGCAGAAACACAGCAAGTCTTAGTATAGCATAATTGCTTCCAGAAATTCTTATTCTTAGCCTCAAAGTCTTAACTTCTAATACAGTGTTAGATTTTGAAATCCGAAATGCTATCAGAGCCTTATGAATCATCTCAAATTATGCAATTATACCCACTGACAGATGTTCAGGTGTTATAGTAATGCCAATAAAGAATTAGGAAGTTCTTGATTTAGAAATCTTGCTTCTCCCAAATCAAAACAATGCATGTAAGCTATGTTAAATTTTCCAAGAAAGGCCCATGATGTAATGTATGTAATATAATAGATAAAATATAATAAATAGTCAGCTAGGTAGAAAAATATTTGGATACTTTAAGAGCATATTTATTGGCAACTTCCCTCTTTTTGATTAATATTTTTCTTGGGCTTCTTTAGTCTTACCAAGACTTGGTCCAGCGCTTGGAACCTGTAATTATGGAACTGGAACGTCAAGAGAATGTCCTAGTTATTTCTCACCAGGCAGTTATGAGATGTCTATTGGCCTATTTTCTTGATAAGAGTGCAGGTAAAAAAAAACTTTTCTTTTTATAGCATATAGAAATAAGGCAGTGATTATCTAGAATAGAGGTGAGTAGTCTAGATGTAGCTCACACAGTTCCTTCTCTAAGCTTTAGATCCCCAGTTCACATACTTGAAGTTGATCATTGTAGCTTGCCATAGAACTTCAGCTTGTAGTTCTTTTCTTTGGTACTTTTCAACGGCAACTCTTTGGAGGAGCTTCGTTTTTCGATGCTGATTTTTTTTAATGTCATAGTTTCTGAACTGCTTCCTTTTTTAACATTGCCCCACCAACTTTTATCTTACAGCCCCAACCACCACTGCTATGCTGCCTTTATCTAGTAAAACCAAACTATATTTAGCCTTCAGTTACTAAGAGGTTTCCCATCCTTGAAAGGAAACAAATTATGAACTACATATGACAATAAATGTATAATTAGCAATAGCAATAGCACTTAGACTTATATACCACTTCATAGGGCTTTTCAGCCCCTCTCTAGGTGATTTACAGACTCAGCGTATTGCCCCAACGATCTGGGTCCTCATTTTACTGACTTCGGAAGGATGGAAGGCTGAGTCAACCTTGAACCGTTCAGAATCGAACTCCTGGAGTGAGCAGTGAGTTAGCCTGCAATACTGCACTCTAACCACAGCGCCCCCATGGTTCTAATTAGTAACCACATCAGTTTAAGAAATAATAATATTGATAGCAGCCATGAAAATAGGCTTTACTCAGAACTGCAATGTGCAAGGAGGGAAAATTTCCCTTTTTGCCTGCTTTAGTCTAGATGAAACTCAGCCTTCATATTCATACATATTTTTCCTCTTTTTCTCCTGAGTTTATAAAGCTGCAATAGTTACTAAAACAGAGTTGATTTGTTGTTGATTATTTTCCAGACTAGATATGATTGTCCTGCCTAAAGTTATTGACATTTTGGGCATTTTCAAAACATGCATATACACATTCAGTGGATTTTACTGATATTGGAGCCAGTAATCTCCAATAAAGTGTAAAATTATTATTTGACTAGGCTTTATTGCAAGTTTGTTTATCTATTTTTATATTTATTATTTCTTTATGTTCTTTAAATATTAGTATTACTGGGTTAATTACTTGCTACATTAACCATCCCCAGTCTAGGATAGTTTATGGTAATTAGATTGAATTCCATCTTGAAATTGTTAAATTTCTACACATTTCTCACAAATTGTGTGAGAATGTAGTTGTATTGCCTCTATTCTGTACCTCAGTTCTAATTCTAAGGTTCTCTGCGTGTCACATTTCAGAACCTGCAGGTTTGTTCATTAATATATATTACGTTCCTGCTCAATCAAAATATACTGTGTATTTTAAATTACTGTTTCAGCACATCTGTTTAACTTTTATTACTTTATCTTAGATGAATTGCCTTATTTAAGATGTCCTCTTCATACCATCTTTAAGCTTACACCAGTTGCTTATGGCAAGTATTATTTGTTTATGTAGGAACATGGGAGAGAAAAGCAGTAATGCAGATATCTATTTGGCATATATTTCATTAGATCAAGTAACTTCTATTTCTTGAATTAATAAACATAATTAGTATGTTATATATTATTTTAGGTATATGTGGGGCTTTTACCCATATCAGTTTCCCATTATAAATCATGATACTTTTCTTGATAAAACATGAGAAATTAAATCAATGATAAGCTAAATTAAATGTGACTTGTTGGGGAATAGCTAATTAAATAATTACAGTGAGATCTGAGTCTTATATCTATGTCTAATTCTTGCCTACTTTGGCATAATACTTCTTGGAGTCTATGGGACTCAAGTATTTCAGGTCTCTTCCTTGATAAATATTGATTTTCATTTCTCTGATGATCGTATAGTACTTCCTCTCTAAAAATGATGCCTAAAGTTCCGTATATTTTCAATTTTATGAAGGCTGTAAATTAGAAATGATTTCTCTGAATGTTGAAGCTGTAGACACTCACCGGGATAAGCCATCCATAGTGGTATGTATTATTTTTTGTTCAGTTATAACTCCTCTATCTTCTTATCTCTTTTATATTTCATTTCTGACTTAGTCATGGTCAATCTTAGGTAATTCTCAAGAAAGGGAAGGGTGAAAACAGTACTATATTTATAACGGGTTTTTCATTTCTTTTGTTCTCCCCAAAACTGTGGGGAAAGCAAATTTTCATAAATATAGAAACCATAAACTAAATTCATAAAATGTATTTTATACTGATAAATGTTTGGTGATAGTTTGTAGACAACTACATTGGACATATTAAATACTCCACAAAATGCAGACTTAAAAAAAAACATGAAAGGATTAGATCAAGATAGAACAACTATGTCCAGGTTTAATTTCAGATCCACTCTGATGAACTGTATAGCTAGCTTCATTGGTAAAAATTATGTAAAAATATTGTAAATGCTTCATTTCTGAGAAGGGACTGCTAAGGCTTTATTCTGTTTGCAAATATTAGCTTGGGCAGAGCTTCAAAATGCTTCTTTGTGATGATGAAGGCCCATGTGAAACACCCTTCATGATGCTGTGTGAAATAGTGGCCCCACCTCCAAGAGCCGTGTTGCTTCACTTTACATTAGCAACCAAAAGAAGATTCTGTGAAGATGCTGCATTTGTACAGAAGTCTCTGTGACTCTTCTGTTAATCTACTGGAAACGGCAGAAGAGGCTTCTGAACAAAGTCAACACATATAAAACACTTTTTTGAATTACCAAAACTTGCAGATAAGACTTTGTGGAGATACAAAGTGCCTCAAAAAAGGGAATTGACAAGTACTTTATCAATAAAAATAACAGTTACCTCTTCCAGGCTTAGCAAATATGTCATTTCACATGCACAATAAGGTAGAATATGCTTCACTTGTTTTTGTTGTTGCGATTGTGCTTTCCAAAACTGTGGCTTCACTTCTTTTGCTCTGAGTTCTTTGCCAGATTGTACCTGGCAACACTGTCTGATTTCATATTAATTACATTTCTGCATGCCAGATCAAATATCCCATAACGTAGTATTTCTTTGGCTTTGTTTACATTATTAGCATGATCTCTTATCTGTTAATTTATAGAGAAAGACATAATTGCTTTGATCCTCCTGACAAATGTAACATAACTTTTAATATTTATTTTCTTCAATATTAAACATAAAAACAATACTGTTTAAACATAGTTTCCTATTGGCTGGTTAGGCCTTTAAGAACCCATACACAGGCCCCATCCCAACAATGTTGTGTGTCTTTCTCAACAAATCAAGTATAAAACAAACTGTGGTTTAGGGCAACGTGTAAACATACGGGGAGGAGTGTGTAACTTGGTGGCGAGAGAAATCATTCCGTAGATTTTTAGAAATACTTTCATTGAAATGAATGCCACTAATTTTTAAACTTGCAAATATGCATTTAAATTAATTCATGCAAATTGGTATTTAATTTAATTGAAATGAATGCCATTAATTTTTAAACTTGCAAATATGCATTTAAATTAATTCATGCAAATTGGTATTTAATTTAATTGAAATGAATGCCATTAATTTTAAACTTACAAATATGCATTTAAATTAATTCATGCAAATTGGCATTTCACATATGCACTTTGAATCTTTTTCAATTAATTGGTAATGTTCTAGATAGCAGCCTGTATCTGTTCTTGGCAGATTGTCACAAAGCAAAATCAGTGCTGGGTAGTTCTTGGATGGGATAGCAGAGAAACACCTGGGCTGCACGCTAAATCAGCAACTTGAAGGAGAAAAAAATCCCAAACAAAGGAAGAGCCATCCACTTCTGTATTATTGCCAGGAAAACAATGTTCATATAGTCTCCAGTGGTCAAGGTCAACTGAAAGGAGATAATTCTAGTTTAATACTCATGCTTAGATACTGTATCTGCTTTCCAATATACTTTTATTTGAACATTTCAAAGCTTTAAGCTATGTCATATAATGCTGTTGATTGCAAAAGTGCAGCCTCACCTTTTTTTTCATAATCTAGCGGAAAAAAATGTTGATTTCAGAGTTAAACTGCAAAAATGTGAAGGCCACAACAACAATAATTTCTATTTTAAAAGCTGACTGAAGTTTCCTAGTCATTTAGTCATAAGATATATCCATGGAAAATATTTGTGTTCTTATGCAAAGAAACTCTTGGGAAATTTTTTCCATCTGTAACTGTCATAGGGTGTGGAGGACTTAGTCATGCATCCTACCCACCCAGGAATCTAGTGGACCAGAGGAAGCAATAAAATCTCACTTCAGTCTCCTAACATAGAAATTATTTCTATGCAACAGTAGATATTGTACAAATTCTTATGTAATACCAGCATAAATTTGTCCTGTATTAGAAAAAAATATCTAAAATAGGAGCTTAAAAGTCCTTATTGTATGTGAATACCCATTCTGTTGAGCCAAAGTGGGCGCTGGATAACAATCTTATATCAGAAATAATATACAAAACAGTGGTGTTGATGAGAAAGATTTATGCTGACAAAATTGGAAAAGGAAAATTTTCCTTTCTATCTGTAATCCCCAGGTACTTTTAATATTTTGCTCTGTTGTATCTCCCAGGCTACAGAACAGCAGTTAATGGTACTTAAGAGAGGGAGAGAAAGAAATCTGTCTATGGATCCTTGAATGTCATCCCTATTCTTTGCATGCTATTGATATTATTTTATGTATATATAGCATGAAATACATATCCTGTGCTCTATTTCTAATTATGAATCAATTTTTTCAACTACTAACTTGCTGTGAGTTAATCTATAGAAATTGACACCTCATCCCAGTCTTTTTGTGGGAAAAGTAACATCTGAACGTAACTTTGTTCACTATTTTAAAAACAAGCATTTCCACCCAAACTACAACAGTGAAAAGCTGCTGAAATAACAAAATCCTACTAAAATAGTTAAATGTCATGATAAATAGGTACATTTGGTGTAATAAAGGGGCTGAAAGCTACCACTGAAAAGGTATTAGGCAAAAGAGTTTCAACAGTTACTTTCCAAAAGGCCCTGTCCACTGTACTATTAAGCTCTTTGTTTTGAAAGATAGACAAGACCTTCAGCCCTGATCAAGTGTAGGCAGCTTAATACTGATAAAGTATTAACATATAGTGTTTTAAATAGCAAAACCCACAATATAAATTGTATCTGAAAACAGACTTGTGGCCAATACAGGTGGTATAATAGAGATATCACATATTTCAATTGTACCTTAAAAATGATCACTGTGTACCAATTGCAATGTCTGAATGATCACATTATAATAATTCGACTGTAGCATAGATTACTGAAGCAAGATTCCTCTGGTGTCAGAGTTGTCTTAGTTATGCAAATCAAAATATGCATTTTAAAACAGAAGCTGAAATTACAGAATTTATGAGAAAAAAATATTTTCTACCTTTCGAGACTCGTAAAATCAGCAGTTAACTGCTAAATAGCCTTTAGTCATGCTTAATTTTTTCCACTGCAGATTTATCAGGAACAAATACTTCTAGTCATTTTTTCTGTTTAAAAAATATGAATTTCTTGCTGAACATTATGTTTTATTAATTTGGAAATTAATTAATTAATCTTTTAAAAGACAGGATCTTCTTCAGTTTACAATAATTGCAATGAAGACATAGGCAAAATAAGATGCTTTCTATTTTTTAACACATTGTTGCAGAAACTTTATAATTAAGAACAGGCAAAATTAGTTCCTTACTCCATTATGATTTCCCCCTTGGTTTACTGAAGAGGCGAGCAATTGTCACTTCTTTAAAATTCAGCTGCTGAAGGCCCTAGAGATTGTAGCAGTAACATTATCAGAAAAGGAAGGAAAGGATTTGTAAAGGTTATGTTGGCAGAACAGGAACCATTCTCAGCCAGTCAAAATCTTTATCTAAACAAGGAAAAATGTACCCAGCAATCAAGGCTGGGAAAAGAATGGCAAGAAATCCATTAACTAAAAAGCAGAGGAAAAGATCTAGCAGGTATGCAGTACACCTTTTTATGTTTATTTTTAATATGCTTTCTTGCCAAACAGTTTTGTGCTTTTATTGGTCTGGGCCTTGTGTTAGAGGCCTTAAGACTGGTTCCCCCTAGAGTGGTGTGTGTGTCTGTGTGCGCGCCCATATAGTTTTAGTACTATATTAGCTGCTGACCAGTAGGAGGCACTAAATGACTGGACGAAATGGGATAGCTAATATGACTTCTAATAATCTAAGATTTAAACTCAGGGTTGACATATAGTTGAAACTAAGTTTGATCTGCCTTCTACAGGAATCAATATCCACATATACATTACTTTTGCAATAAATTAACTGACCTATGTATATTGAGCCTGAGAAGCTTCTGAACATGGGGATATTGTTTCTGGAAAGTTGATATTTACTGTTGGACCTAATATGAAATTTGACAGGTTTGCACCTATTGACCCAAGTATGTTTAGGAGAAGGGTAAATAAAACCTTAGTGTTTCATTCTCTCAAGAGGTTAAAACTTCAGTATTTTCATGCTTTTTATTTGAATAAGAAGAAAAATCACATCATGCATTTTGGTAGTGTGGCCTGAGGTGGTTCAGGAGTTGATAGATTGCAGATCTTTAATAAAATATATGGCAAAATCCATTTTGCCACCGAGGACATGGATAAAATTAGATTGCATCCAATGCTGACTTATGCACCAAACTTTTGCCTGTTCCCTTTGCCTCTTAAAGTCATTTGCTGCTATTCTATACTGTTATATGGCTTCCCCAAGCCCTTCATATCAGCTTTCTGGGGCTAGGCATGGGGAATGCAGTGGAAAAAAAGGTTGGGCTCAGCAAAACTCTACTTATCTTACCTTGTTCAAGCAGAGTCATTTCCTACTTGTGTATCAGCACTCTTGGATGCATCTTATATTCACATGTCTTAGGAAGCAGGATTTTCATTATCACATTGTGTGCTGTAGGGCAGAGATTATTGGGGGGGGGAACACCTGGATGGATAGCATCAGAAACAGTGGCATTGTTTTTGCTTTGTGGGTTAGTTTATCATTCTTATGGTATCCTCCATTTTTAATCAGAATAACCTTCCAAAGAGCCAAACCCCTGTAAGGATGAGAAGGAACAGCTTTACACCACTAGCCAGTCCGGACACACTAAAACGGCCTCGCAATTACAGTGTTGGGAGTCAGCCTCTCAACCCGGCAGGATCCCTGCTATTCCAGGAGGCTCAAGATCAACAAAAGCTTCAAGAGAGTGTTCAGGCGGTAATATCCTAAATCTCTACTCCAATTTGTACCACTGCCAAAACAAACAAGAAAAAGAAAGGCAGTTAAAGAGTACCTGCAACTGTGTGTGTATATATATATATATACACACACTGCCAAGAATCCTTTCTAGCTGCATCTGTACATCAGATGGATGTTCTTCTGAAGCCTTTTTATAGTGTAATTTAATAAAATGTGATTTTGTAAGAGGAAGTTGACTTTAAAAGATTGGTACAAAGGGGCTGGTACTATTTTTAATTGAAAAAAAGGCTATTTTCCTTTTTTAAAGTTTTTTAAGTTTTCAGCCTTGAGGATTACTCTTTTGTAACAATTTAAGTTTGGCAATAAAAATAATAATAATACTTTATGATTATTATTCTTTTCTCCACTTACTTTTCTCCTGCCTTTTTAACATCAAAAAGAAAATGGGGTGTTAAGTGAATCTGTAGGGTGCATAGGGTAAATACATAATAGAAACACAGACAATATTCTACACAATATATTATATTTATATAAAATACACTGAATGTTGCACATGCAGCATTTTGCAGTCATTTGGGGGGGATGGTTTTCATTCTCTTGCCATATGCTATCTCCCTTTTTCTTTTCTTTCTTTTCTTTTTGCTTATTTTGACTTCCTACAACTGAAGCTTGAGCTTCTCCTGTGCTGTTTTCTTTTTTTGCAGCTTCAGATGGAAAGCCCTTGCATGTGAGTATCCTTAAGAACAGCTTACATGTCTCATATGTTTCTGATTAGCAGACGTTTTCCAAGAGAAGAGGAGAACTTTAGAAGAAAAGTTTGCATAAAGAGAAAGTACTGTATCAAATCATGTTGGTGAAAAATAAAATCCATTTTGGGTGGGTGAAATATGGTATGGTCATAAGATTAACATTTATTTCACTTGAGTAAGATTAATCAAATACAACTAAAAAGGATCAGATGTACCGTAACTATATTTGTTGAAGTCTACTCTGAGCACAAGTACAAGCCATGTTACCATAAATTTTCCTGATCAGCTAACATGAATCAGTGCAGTACTGTCTTATGTACACATAGCTCCTGAAGAAACAGCTGCTGGTTTTTAGGTTAAGTGTGCTGTCAGGAGCCAATTGAAAACAATGCAGAAATGGTTTTAAAATTTAAATTTAAAATTAGAATTAAATAGTTCTAAAATGCAATTAGAAAGTCAGGTAAAAGCCTAACTGTTTTTGAAATGTCATGTTAGACTTCTTATGTCAGCTGGGAATGTATTCCAATGCTCCAATGCAGTTATCATATTCATATATGTTTTCAAGTGCTTACATGGTATCTTGATAGCTTTGTCATCTTGTTAAAGAAGTCTGTTTGACTTGATACAACTGATTGAATGCTTCATTTCTTTTCATATGACATACTTTAAAACATGCTAGCTAGGTGAGTGCATCATGTACATTCCCAGAAAAGAAATGGAAGGGTTGAAATATTCTGTGCAATTTCTTTTTCATCCTATAACGAGAGAGGTTGTGTCAATGGTTTGTTATTCCCCTTTCTGTAGGGAGAAATCAGATGCCGTCATCTGAGAGCCTCTGGCATCTGTCTCGACTCCCAAGTGAGACTGACGGTGAAAGAAGCAGTTGTTCCAAACCTGTGTTCAGAGTGGCCAGTTGCTTATGCTTCATGCTTTGTTTTGCAGTGATGCTTCCCTGCACTTCCTTTTGCTGGCAAATTTGTCTTGATATGCTAGTTTTTATGTGCTGTTCCATGAAATTGTGTACATATGTAAATGTGACTTTTTGTTGATGTTGCCTTGTGTTGTGAGGCTTTGTTTGTTTTGTCAAGTGAAGCTTTCGTTTTGCATTTATTGCTGAAAGTAAAAACTGCCTGACAGAAATGTTTTGAGATTTACAGACAGATAACAGTTAATTTATGGTAGTCATACGATCTTTGCAAATGCAGTTCAATCACCTTGAAATGAAGAAGTATTGTTAATGATTTATCCTTGTTGATAAATGTACATTGCATATGGTTTGTATATTTGGTACTAGTCCCATGCTTTGCCTTACATAAAAATATTCTAAAGCTAATTTGAAAATCATTTTCCTGTACAATTTGCTTTTATTATTCCCATGGAACGTGTTAGTTTCTTGGGAATGTTTTCATAAATTTCCCTGTCCAGTGTTTACATTTTCCTATAATCAGAAACGTAATATTTTATTTAATTAGGTTTTATATATATCACTGTTTTTAATTGTTTATTCCCAGCCTCTCAGTTTAATCCAGTTTCTGTGAAAAGGAGAAACAAATGGTCTAATGAACAGAAAAAGAATTAATTGAAGTACCCTACAGATATAGATAATTAACATGAATTAATTTAAAAAACTGATTAATAAAGAAACTGGAAGGTAGGATAACATGTAGGGAAAAAATAAGAGGCTTTCCCCTCAGGAGAGTTATATCAAATATGTATATATCCTATGAAAAGAAATTTTAAATTAATGTACAATGTAGCATTACAGTCTGGAATAGAGAAAAAGTTTCCCAAATAGTAGTTCACTAAATTGGAATTCTGTATGTCAGGATCCTCCCTTAGAATATATAAGTGAAAAAGGAACTTAGAATTAAAGGAAAATTCTTATTTTAATAAAAGAACATCTTACTAAACTGATTAAATAGAATTTCACTATCATAGTATATTAATATGCATTTGCTTTTCTTGAAATCACTTTTGACTGCACTAGTAGAAAAAGAATCTGCTTGTGGGTTATTGGAAATAAAGAATAGTCAAAATTGATCTTTTAACTTATTTCTAACTTCTTCAGAAATCAAAAAGAGATGGAATCATTTTAATTTGATTCTGTTGGAAAGATCTATCAAATGTCCTAATTGCCTTGCTCTGGTGTGTATTTCTAAATCATAGAGACAAATTGTGGAAAATCTTCCAAAATGATGTTTCATTGGAGTATATATGAATTGTTAAATTCATATCATTGTTAAAGAAGCTGTGTTATTTGCAATACTGATATGGTTGCTTTTAAGGTTGGTCCCAGTCATCTTCACATGATATTTTTATTCCTTAGCTGCACTTTCTGCCCTGCAGAGGCAGCTAGAAGCAATTGTTCAAAATTTCTGGATAATATGGTTGTTTTGTGTTTTGAACAGAGGTGCTTGTATGCCCTCCCACAGATCACTGATATTTTGAACAGTTACAGTATAATTTTGTCAGCTGATTCTGCTTTTGTACAGTTATAGTGCTAGCCCTGTGGTTAATGATTTCCTTCAGAAAACTGATAAAGAAGGCAGCATTAACTGATTATATACTGTGTCAAGAATATTAGTCTATTTTCAGGACTCTGAACAGATTCTCAAACTGGTCCTCAGAGTGCCTTCTTCTATGATTGTAGAATAAATAGTGAAATTTTATTTATATGTTAATAATATTAATAACATGAGTACCATGTATACAGCACTTATCTCATGAGAAGTTATTCTAGGTGGCTATAACAGTCAATAAAAAACAATACATAGATAAAGCAGACATTTAAAAATAGAAAAATCAGCATTAGAAATGGAGAAGATTAAAACTAAAGTATATACAAATCCCAAGCAGAGAGAGAATGAGTAATCCACCTCAACAGTGAAGCCATCTAAATAAATCTCTGGTTCCTTGGGACACCCAGGCCTGGTAGCATAAACAGGTCTTGAGGAACTTCTAGGACACAAAAAGGGATGTCCAAGGAGGAGAATGTCCATAAGGCAAGTGCCAAAATAATAAATATAATTTGATGCAGCTCAACTCTTAGGCTTCAATAACCTAAGATCTAATTTGTAATGTTGTATGCCACCCCAAAGTCTTAGGAATTTTGATGGCATTCTAAACTATAATCAAATAAGATGAAAGTGGTTGAAGGATTGGTTATATTGTCATATGCACTGCTCATGGACTACCAATCCTTAAGGACTTATCCAGTAAAATTTTAGTCTCTATCCTGAAGGTTTAGGAGGGAGATCATGTGTCATAGAATGCTTAATTTAAAAATGGATTTGCTCAGAAACGTGTAGAAACAATTATCTTGCTAAGCTGTTAAATGTATTATTATTGTGCCCTTTAGCATGTTTTAGCCTAAGATAAATATGTCCTTTTCAACATACCCAGTTTTGCTATTAAAATAAAGTATCAATTAGTTGAATCATTTTTAACCCTAATAAAAAAGTAATGAGTCAGATGGAATAGCCTTTTTAAAAAAATGAACTAAGACCTCAAGATAGAGGTTTTTTTTAATACCACCACCAATTAAACTGCTGCTGCCTGTTGTTAATTCATTCTTGTGTTACACGAGTTTTCATATAGAAATTTCATGTGGAAAGGAAAATAATTGCTACAATTTATACACATTAAGAATGGAAGCTAGAATATTGTGAATGAAATATTAGATGTTTTACTGTGACACAATTATAGAAACAGTCTGAAAATACATTGTGATATTACTTGGCTGTTTGATTTGATTTTTACATTTGAAAGGAGGGGGCCTTTATAAATGCTAGTTAAGGGGAGCTCAGTCTAGAACAACAGCCTTAAACTTTAACCTATCACAAAAGGTCCCAAATGCCACTAACCAGATGGGGTTTTTTAAATCAGATTGTCTTTCTTAGCTTTCTGTCTCCCTTTCTTCTTTTCTGTCCCAGTTCTCTTCTACATAGAAAAAATCCTAAACAAGAAATGTAAAAATTCTATGGTGACTTTCAGTCTCTTACTTGAACTCCAATAGTTCAAAAGACAGAAAAAATCGCACTGTTTTATGACCACGTTGAGTCACTGAATTTTTCTTTAGAATGTTTAACTAAAATACATTGGGGTTCAAAAAGATTATTTCAGGAAACAGTTTCCTAGCATTTATAAGATCTTTGTTCTTTTTTTTTTTTTATCATTTGAACTATTCAAAGTGGATTCATAAATTCCTAGGAGAGATTTTTGACTCTCCTAGGAATGAGGGGTCCTTAATGCTCTCTGAGCTTGCTTGTATTCTTGCAGACGTTTCATTACCCAAACTAGGTAACATCATCAGTGCTAGTAAGGAGTGCAGTTTGCTGTCAGTTTACATTCTGGTGGCTTGCCTGTCAGTGTCAGTCTAAGACCACCCCCACCAACACTGACAGGTAAGCCACCAGAATATAAACTGACAGTAAACTGCACTCCTTACTAGCAGTGATGATGTTACCTAGTTTGGGTAATGAAACGTCTGCAAGAAAACAAGCAAGCTCAAAGAACATCAAGGACCCCTCGTGTCAACCCTGAGGTACAAATATTCTTCTTTATTAGTCTCCTACGAATTTATGATTCCACTTCAAATAGTTTAGTGAAATATGAACTTGGAGCTTGGAATCCATGGAGAATCACTTAAACATTTTTAATTATGTTTCCTTAGCTGTCACTTTATAAAAAAAACATTTCAATTGATTTCTTGGGACAAATGATTGTGATTCATATTAGAGGGTAAACTGTCTTGCTTTTTTAGCTCTCTAATGATAGACTTGAAAAAAACAATAGCAGACACCTTGAAATGTATATATTTCTAATTATTTATTTGTTCACTTAGAAGCAGTATTTCCATATAGTTTGTTATTTTTCAACTATTAAAATTAGATAGTTATTTTCTATCAAACATACTGTATAAATTTAAATATTTCTCATATTGCCAAAGAAACATAAGGAAATTCTGAGAACTTTTTTGGAGGTTTTCCACCTACATGAGTTAACTTGTAGGTCACAAAAATTTCCACTGCAAGAAAAAGATTCCATGCTCACTAGAGCCATGGAAAATATTTGCAAGGGGCACTTTGCAAGTGTGTGGCTGTGAACAGAGCAACCCTCCTCAAAGCATTAAGGCACATGCATCCTTTGAAAGGTTTGGCATCGCTGCTATGAAGGTTCTATATGTGTGTCCATGCAGAGGCAACATTTCTGCTGAGACTGTCACTGGATCATAAGGTTTCTCCAAACTCAGTGCTTGAAGCATTGATATTCTGTATCTTGTTAAAGATGTGGGTGGTTACTCTTCTGAAATTTTTACCTGTGAAATATCACCTTGCAGGTAAAATGGCATTCATTGTAAAATGAACTATCTGTACATTTGATGCATGTTCAGACAATATAAGAAGAGCCTTAAAATAGCCTTACTAAGCTTTTGAGAATATACAATGATCTGAGTATCACCCACCCCTCTGGGTGGTTTTATACAGCTTATCCCAAAGGTGCTTTTTTAAAAGGTAACTGGACTTTGTTTTTCCTTGAAGACATTTCGCTTCTCATCCAAGAAGCATCTTCAGTTCCGGCTGAATGGTGGAGCACTTTCAGAAAGAGTGTTAACTCTCATTAGCACTCTTTTTGAGAGTTTTTGAGGCTACTTGGAGGGAGGGGAAGGAGTCTTTTCAACAGTTCCAAGAAAATTCCACACCCGTTTGTACTATTCAGATGACACAGATAAAACCTGAGAGCACAGATAAACCCCCAAGTAGCCACAATGACTCTCAGAAAGAGTGCTAACGACCAGATGACTGCAAGGAATATATATCCTTCTATCCCCCACCATTCAGTCAGAACTGAAGAAACTTCTTAGATAAGAAGCAAAATGTCTTCAAAGAAAAACAAAGTCCAGTTGCCTTTTGAAAAAGCACCTTGGGAACAACTGTGACCTGGATGACTAGAATCTCCATAGACATTTTATACAGCTTGATTTATTATTTAGGAAACCAAATGCTAACTATTGTAACTGTAGCTAAAATGAAACGCAAGATAATTACGAAGTCCTTTGAACCAATTTGTGTTGTGTGCCTTTATAACAATAGCCATATTTAGACTTACGTGCAGAAGCTGTTATTTATATTACAATAGCTGTGTTTCAGTTGTCTAAATATTAGTTTGCTCAAAAGAAGAATGCATTGTTCAATTAATCTATGAAAGTTGTATTCTTGTGTAGTAAAATAACTGTTTCTACTGGGAATTGCTATTTTAATGGATATTACAAATCTATTAAAACTAAGCAGTGGAATTGCAGACATTGCTTTCAAATATAAAGAAAGAAGAATGTAAAAGATGCAAATTCATGGATGTCTAGAATGAATATCCAGATTTTTTTTTTAAAAAAGTACTCTACTTTTAATAAGCCCTTTGTACATGCTTCTATTTCATATCTAAATCCCCATTTTCTT